AAAATTAAAGATGTTTTTTTTTTTAAGGTGCTGCAACTTCGACCGAGTACCATTACACTTAAATCTATCTACTGAAGTATACCAGATACCATTAATGGTGACGTGCCAGTCACTTAATCTCAGATATTTTCCTATAATTTCAAGTTATCCACCATGTTAAGCATACCCCCTATCCTAAAGGGATGATATTTTTAAATTGTTTAATAAGAATAATGGTCTAAGTTATTTTACTAAGTTTAATAATAAAAATATACCTGTTATTAAACTTACTTTGTAAAAGTTATCTTTTAAATTTTTTAGTGCAATTACTAATAATTTTCTTAATTAAAACTTTAGAATAACTTTATTTTAATATACCATTATAAAAATTAAAAAAAATTTATATTTGATTCAATTTGATTTGATTTGATTTGATTTAATTTGACAAATATTTGATTCAATTTGATTTTATTCGATCAAATATCTGAGTTCAATTTGATTCAATTCTATTCGATTTGAAAAAATCAAATCAAATTTAAATTGCTTAAATATTTGATTTGATTTGATTTTGAGGAACCCTAATCAAAATACTAGTTATAAATCAACCTAAAAATGCATTCACTAGATATATATTACTAGTTACTACTATGTGAAAATAATAGAATTATATTGAATATAGCACATTTACTAATATATATGTTAAGAAAATCTAAAAATATAAGTCATCATATTCATATATAAAAATAATTTATTATCTTACCAGTTTCGCTAATTTTTTTTAGTATCAAAACTTAAAGCTTATTTATTTATTCAATATTTTCTAAGAGAATCTGTTCTAAAATTCTCTCCAAAACATTTTTAAAATTTTTATCTCTTTTTCAAGAACATTTGTTCATATATCTTACTTCACTTGTATAAATAACACTGTGAAAATTCTGACAATATTAAGAGGCTCTCTTATTAACCGGAATTTTTCTATATTTTAATAGAATAAAAGTTAAAAGTTAGTGTAAAACTTGCTAAGTGAAGTAAAAAATAATGTAAAAACATAATAATTTCATTATATTATACTTTTTAATATTTATAATTTTCTTATTCACATCTAAGGTTAAAGCAGAAGAATATGCAATAACTTTTATGCTAAAAATATTGTATTTGAGAATAAGGATATATAGAATGTGCATTAAAGATCTTGATATTTAGAAAAGCATTAGGGATAATGCATATATAAATTATTTTTATCTGTTTGCTTAATACTATGACCTGATAATGTTATAAAATATATTTCAGCTAGAATAATAGACTTCATATAATAGAAATAGCTTATCCTTCTAAAGTAATATACATATTAATAAATGCTATTTTCTCTTTCTTTTTCTTATATTTATTCGAAAAAAAATAATTTATCAGGATTTACTATCTGGATATACTATGATTAGAATTATTTTCTGTAAATCAATAGATTAAAGAAGGGATCAGATTATAAAAATAATAGTAAACTTTTCTTTTGAAAGTCTATGACTAAAGGAATGAGAAAAAATTTGAAATATTTTTTGAAGGTTGATTTCTTATGTGTGAAAATTATTTTGTTACATAAGCAGTCATATAGATTTATGATATATCAATTATTACATCATATATATACTTTACAAGCTTTAATGAGAATTAGAAATATGTTTATTTTTATTAAATACACCTACTGTATTAGTCATAAGATGCTTCATATGATGATACAAATATATTTTTTATTATGATAATATTTATGATCTTGATTAAGGACTAATCTGAAATAAGTAGAAAAAAATATGTGTGAATAAGTTATATATTAATAAAGTAATAGTCTATATTTAAAATATTTCTCAATCAATAATTTATTTTATTAATTATTATATATAATAATTATTTATATTATATATTAAAGTAATAAATATATCATGTTTTAATTTTTTTAAAATTGATTTTAAAATAATAATAAAAGTAAATTTATGGATTAATCAAAAGATAAATTTATTTATTTATTTGAATACTTATTATTTAACTATTCTAAATATACTTTTATAAACTATTTTTAAAAAATTTAATTTCAAGATATTTAAGATTAAGCTATTTGTTTATATTAAATATTTTTATCTAAACTTTTAATAGGTTTTTCTAAACTTAATTAAATTTAATTAAGTTTTAGATTTAAAAAAAAGTTTCTAAATTTTTAAGTTATATATTAAAATAGGTTTTGAATAATAGCATCATTAATTTTAATACAATTTTTTGTTATGATTAAATAGATTTATTATAATTAAAATAATAATTAAATATATTTCAATTTATTATATAACTACATATTTCAGTTTTTTTCAAATCATTAATTAAAATATATTTAAGAAATTGTATAAATATTTTTTAGAAATTTTTTTTTAAGTTAATATTAAATCTAAAATTTAAAAAATAATTTTTTTTTAAATATATATTTTCAATTAAATTTTTAAAATATCAACTCAAACCCAAATCATATCTACCTAAATCTTAAAACTAAAATTAAAAAACTAAGTTTGAATAACTATAATTCCAAACTTCAAATAAATAAGGCAAAACTAAATAAAGTCTAAACCCAAATAAACAAACTATATTTACTATAATTTTTATTTTAAATTTTATTAAAATTACAAATTTTGTAAAATTACAATCCTTTTATTTCTATATTATATTAATATTATATATTATATTAATAAACTAATAAAATTTATTAATCATAAATCATAAATCATCTTGTAATAATTCTTTAATTTTTATTTTTATATTCAATTCTTGATTCATTTTTATTAGTTTTATTAATTAAACTTAATGTTTCTGCAGTTAAATTAATAATCTCATCTATTTATAAATTTAATATATTTTCATTCTGTAACTACAAATTATTACTATTATTATCATCATAATCATCCTCATTAAATACTAGGAGTAGTTTTAAATTTTAATCTGAAGATTCAATTCTTATAGAGATTGAATATCCTAAAATTAGTAAAAAAAAGAAATATTTTTTTAGAATATTATTTATTTTTCTAAAAAAATGATTATTATTCTATTAATTAATAATCCTATCTGAACTTTATCTTAATCCCAAACTTTCTAAAATTTCAAGGTTTTGTTTGGGCTTTATCTGATTATGATTGTTTAAACCTGTTTTTTTAATCTATTAGACAATTTCTAAAGGTTTGGGTTTAGACAACAAATATATATGAAATAGAGTAAATCATATGATCAATAATGTGATTTTACTGAAAATACTTCTATATAATATACTTTTATTAGTCTACTTTCTAACATATTAATTATATTAATTAATAATATATGATATTTTTCTAATAAATTTAATAGCAAATTTATAAATATACGATTAATATGTTAAAACATTTGAAAATTAAAATATAAAAAATTGATTAGCTGATAAAATAATAATACTTAAAATATTTTGATCAGTAGAAAATTTATATACTGATCCAACTTTTAATATTTTGAAAACTTTTTAATATCGATATTAAAGGAAGAATTAATTTCTAAAAATAAGAATATGATAATTAATTATATTAACTATATAAATATTTATTAAAAATAGTTATTTATTTGAGAATTAGATTGGTTCCATTTAAATTATTTGTATGGAAGAACCCGGGAAATTATACAGTCAAATAAGGAAGACAGTCTCGACTCTGTGCTCCAAAAAAAATCGGTGGTGCTAAGTTGCAAAGCATCGTGATTTTGGGGATAATAGATAATGTTGATTACATAAGCCTTGCTATCAGCTACCCCCGTTTAATTATTTTTAATTGATAATCTAGAATAACGTTACAAAGTGATTTTATAAATCAATACCCCAAATATAGTATCATAATCATCATGAATAACACAATTGAAAATGGTATTATAAAGATGATAAATAGATAATCATACACAACCAAAATGATTACCAATTAGGAAAAATGATTTCATTCTATAATATGAACTTGAATGGATTTAAAATCCGTATATATATACTAAAATAGAAAAATCAAGTTTTTTCAAAATACAAGAATTACAATATTACAAGATTATCGTAATGGGACCTTCGTGCAAAAATTGGTGGAAATAGTTTACTCGGCGAAGTATATTATAAAAACGAATTATGTATGGTCGAACAAATTCTATGCAACTAGAAAAAAAGATCGCAAGAATTATAAAGAAAAGAATATCATAATCGGAATAATTAATATTTAATTGGACGAAATTTATCCTTGAAAACTTTTTGCAGACATGTTCATTATGCACATTATGTATTACAGAAATTTAGAACAGTAAAAATCATATTTTAAAATATTTATTAATGTGTTTAGTTTATAATATATAACAATATATGAATAGGAGAAAATTTTTATAAATCTATTTTATGTTTAGAGATAGATATACATACAAGTAAAAAAATTACAAATGCAAAAAAAAATTTTTTTAAAAAAAAAAATGCGTGTAGGAAAATGCAAAAATGAAATCAATATATATAAATGCAAAAAAAAATAAAAATTTATACAGAATCTAAAAATTAAAATCCAAAGAGTTTCTTGACTTTTTTCAAAGTACTACCATTTTCCTCGTCTGAAGAATTTTCGCTGTCTGAAGTTTCGTTCTGCTTATCTTTAACTTTCCTTTCAGATTCCTTCTGATGGTCTTCTTTAAATTGGTCAATAACATCTTGAAATCCTTCACCAAAGTAAGCAGCGAAATCTGGAATATAAAGTTCCTCATTATTATTAACAAAATCGGTTCTTGAATCTTCAGTAGGATTGTTTAAAGTTTTAAGAGCATCGTAGACAAGAGCTTTGTTTGAGGAAGTCATTTTTTTTAGTGTGATAAATTTAGGTGTTAAAGATATAATTTTTTGTTTGTTTGTAAAGTTGCGAATAATATGAATGTATTCGATATTGTTATTTTTTAATTGTTAGAAAATTTTATTTTCTTTTGTTGGATGAAGAATGGGAAGAGTTGAATAAGTGGGGTATTTGTACTTGAAAATGTCAGATTTTTGCGTAACAAAAAAAATTTCATTAAAAAAGCTGTTCGACCAATTTGGGAAATGAGTTGACCTGTAGTGTAAATTGTGTAAATTACTATTGATGGTCTTTGTTTATTCCAAATAAATGATTTTTATATTTTTTTAAATGAAGTTCCCAATTATGATTTTATTTATTTTAATTGGTTCTTTATAGTCCGTTGTTTGAAATTTTTTTAAATTTCCATAAAAAGCCAGTGGTCACTTAATCATGGTGTCATAAATAAATCCCAATTTTTTTTTAAACCATTTTGTGTTCATCAAATGACACACGATAAGTGTTTTCTTTTTTTGTGATTTTTCTTTCTTTGATATTTAATCAAGGGAACAAAGTGTGAAACACTAAATCAAAGGTTTCACTTCGGTCTATTTTTTTTTTTTGAAATCAAACAATGAACAAAGATAAATATCATTTTAATTGGAGATTGATTTATATAATGTATATTCAGCAACCGCAGTCTATAATTAATCCAAAAGAGTAAGCAACATAATATAACGTTATCCTTACATTTAAATATAAACAAAATCAACGCCATAATAAGTTAATTTCAGGTTTTACATATGGGCGTTTTGTAAGAAAAAACATTTTTTTTTAAGTTAATGCTAAATCTGGACATATTTACATTTCTGTTGCCGAAGCGCCCATATTTGATCGTCATGCTGCTAAAAAATTCTTCCAAGCTTCTTTTATATTTTTAAATGCACATTGAAATATTTTTTTAAAAAATTTTTTTATCGAACTTCAAGTTTAATAGTTTTGGTTTTTTTATCTTTGCCACTGCCATTAAATTAAAACTACTGAATAATAAGAATTCAAAAAGATAAAATCCTAAGAATCAAGGAAATGTATTTACAGTAGGACAGAAAAAGTATTGCGATTTGTAATATAAAATCACGAACACCTCATCTGTCCTACGGTTGCAAGCTGCAGAATGATCTCAGAGATTGTGTATTAAGAACTTTACTACCTCCATATTTTGGTTCTCTTAAAACATCATTATTGTGTTAATCTAAAAACTTGGATAAGATCAAATTAATTCGGTTTGCCTTTTATTGAGAATACACGAAAAATAATATGAAATTATATGAATCATAATTTTAGGTGGTAAATTTTTTATAAATATAATTTATTATATACTGTAGTACTTTAAAGAAAAAAGTTTTAAATTTCTAATAACATTAAAAAATAATCCTTTAAAATTAGATAAAAAGGATTAATAATTTTAAATAAATATATTAGATTTAAAGAAAATTAAAAAAAAAATTTGATTTATATATTAAATAATGTTTTTAATATTTTTTTTTGAAATCTGTTATTTACAATGCTATTCAAAACCTATTTTAATGAATAGCGATAGCTTAAAAATTTAAATCCTTTTTTGAAACCTTTAAAATAACTTTTTCTTAAATCTAAAACTTGATTAAACTTCATTAAGTTTTTTAAAAACTTATTAGAAGTTTAGATAAAAATATTTATTATAAACAAATATTTTATCTCAAAATTCAAAATTGTATAAAAACATTTTAGGATAAGATTTTATTATAAATATTTTATTTTATAAAATTTTAAATAATTTATGATTTTTATATTATATATTTATCTTTAAATTTTAAAAATAATATATAATATATATTTTTGATATTTTTATGTTATATTTACAAGATTTAAATATTAATTTATTTTTATATTAATCTAAATAAAATATTATAAGTAAATATATTTAATTAAAAATTAATTAAATTTATTATTAATATTATTATAATTAGTAAATGATATTATTCAGATTATAAAATGCAATTTATTCTAATTAAATTATTTAAAATATACTCTAAAATTATTTAAATAGAAAATAAAAAGTAAAAAAAATTAGAAAAATATTTATTTTACAAATATTAATCTAATAATAAAAATTTAAATTTAAGTAATTGAATAACTTTACTTAATATTTTATTTTGATTAAAGTATTTAAATTATTTCTTAAATATATTAAATAAAAAGATATAATAATTAATACATTAATTATCAAATATAATTTTAAAAAATATAATATAAAGTAATATAACTATAAAAACTGGTTTTTATTTTAATCATTTGATATTTTAAAATTAATAGTTACACTTTTTTCTTTTATTAGTCAAAAATTTTATATTAAAAATAATTAGCTGATTTTAATTTAAGAAATTTAGCTTAATCTGAACAAATATTTTTCATTTTTCTTTTATACTTATAAATATAAAATAAAATCTTTAATAAATATGCCTATTATTAAAGCATATATTAAAAAATTATATTATCTATTTCAGTAGAAATAATTAAAGTTTAACAATTCAAAGCTTATTTGAATATATGAGAGCTTTACAATAAAAAAGAAGAAAATTCTAAAAAAATTAAAATTTTATTTTCTAATCTAATTATGATTTTTTTTAGTAAAATAAGTTCAGATTAACATTAATTCAAAAAAAAAGTTTTTTTAGAGTTTCCTTTCTTTCTATTATAAAGCTTTTATATAGTTAATAAATATATTTTACTATTGAAAGAAAAATTTAGAAGTATATTATTCTGAATCAAAAGAATATACTGGTAATAAAATTAAACTAAAATTCACAGTTAGTAATGTAGTATCTTTAATAATTATTTCACATTTCATATAAAATTTTAATCTTTAATTAATTAATATATTTAATATTTTAAAAGTATTACTAAAGAATGCCATTTGCTTGTTTTTGATTTATCACAAAAATACAAAAAAAATGATCAATTAAAATTAGATATTCTTTCTTATATATCATTTCATAAATGTTGGTAGACTTATAATACTATTCTTATAAAAAAATTTATTAGAAAATTATCAGATATTTTATGATATACGATCATAAAACAATTAATAATAGATGTAGAATTCTTTCAATTTTTTAATTAATTTGATCTAGTAAAAGATAAAAAAGACTGATCTAAGTTTATCTATGATAAATTAAATTTTCATAATCAAAATTAAACAACTTATTCAACTTATTCCAAAATATTTTGGATTGAGCATCTATATTTTGCTTTTTAAAGCTATTTAAATTTATAAATAATCTTTGAAAATATGTAGAATACTTAATAAAAAAGGAATATATATTAAAAAAAAATCATATTTCTTTAATACTTATAATAAATAAGAAAGATGCTAGCAAATTAAAAATTATTTTATCTATTATATATAGGATTCTAATTGTTATAACTAAATATAAGGTCTTAGTTAAGTTATTGAATCTTTAGAATACTAAAAAACAATATATTTTATTCTGATTATAATACGTAAGTAAAATAATTGAATTTTTTTTAGAAAATAATTAAAAAATAATTAGTATTATTAATTTTTTAGAGCAAAAAGCATACATTTATAAAAATTAGATAAAACATTTATATTTAAAATAGAAATATATATTTATCATCACAGAAATATAATAAATACAATTTTTATTTGAAAAATTAACCTCTATATTGATGAATTTACAGCTTTTGAAAAAAATTATAAATTAGAAATAAGTTAAAAAAAATCTATACTTATTTGTATATGCAATACAAGCAATAAAAAAGAATTTATAAATACATGTAAAATGTTTCTTAGTAATATTAAAAGGTTTAAAATTTATTATATACAGTATTATTACACAAAAATTATTCAAATGATCTATTTAATGTAGATCAATAAAATTAAGTCTATATTATTAACATCATTTACCTTGTTTATTTAGTTTAGTTAATTTATTTATTTTATTTAGTTTACATATTATATTTATTTTACTTAGTTTATTTGGTTTATTTATTATCTTTATTTTATTATGTTAATATTGTTAACAAATCTATATATTTTATTTTATATAAATATAGCTGAGATTTTTAATTCAGTAACAAACAAATAAGAGACAAAAAGATAAAAAAACAAGAGTCAAGTATTGAATAGTTTAGTTTGATTATATTAGAACATTATACAGTACAGAACACCGACGTTGAGACAATGCTCATTTGTTATTTCATGTCAAATAAACAACTAATACATATACTTTACTCTATCTCAACTATAAATTAAACCTTTTATTCGCTTATAACATTTAAGCAATATTTAAAGAACTGATTATAACAGTATATAAGAAATTTATAAAAGATTTAACTTCAGATGAATCAAAGATAAATATTAGAGTAAATCTTGCTTCTAATTTAAAGAATTCAGATTTTATTACTAATCTTTGATACATTAATAAAAAAAGAATATCTCTTTATAATACCTTTTGAAATATATTAAGTAATTCTTAAAGAATACTACTCAAGATTCAGTTATTGTAATTGGTATTTTGATCCTATTATACATTTAACTTAATATAATATCTATAAAAGATCTAAAAAATCAAATAGAAAAAATATGTCTAAAAGTAATTCCAATTCTATCAATACATTAGTTAAGATTAGGGATGTTAATGATTAAAGATAAACTAATTTTAAACTGGTTGTATAATCAAACTGATTCAGTTTAATTTCAAGATTATAAACTATGATAAATATCAGTTTTTATCATGTGATTCAATATGGTTAGACCATTAGTAGGGTTCCTCAAAATCGAATCGAATCAAATATTTAAGCAATTTGAATTTGATTTGATTTTTTCAAATCGAATCG